TTGTGAATCTCGATGTGCAGATTTCGTGGCAGGCGCAGCACTTTGTGAAGCTCGATGTGCAGAGTTCGTGGCAGGCGCAGTACTTTGTGAACCTCGATGTGCAGATTTCGTGGCAGGCGCAGTACTTTGTGAACCTCGATGTGCAGATTTTGTGGCAGGGGCGGTACATTGTGAACTTCGAAATGCTCCTATGTACTCGCCTATGTGCACTCAGATTTGTGCTTGTATGTGCTCTCACATTTGTGCTCTCAGATGTGTGCTCTCATGTGCTCTCATATGTGCTCCCATATGCTCTCATATGTGTGCTCTCATTTGTGCTCGTGAATCTCGATGTGCAGATGTTCTTGAAGGGTTTTGAATTTCAATGAACTTGCCGTTTTGGAAGTTGTTGGCTCGACCACCACCGTCAGCGCCGCCTTCACCACCACCAGTACCATGACCATCACCACTACCACCACCACCACCACCACCACCACCACTTTTATGCTTCCGCATCTGCTGCTCTCATCTGTGCACTCTCACATTTGTGCTCTTGTATGTCTCCTCTCATATTTGTGCTTTCATCTGTGTGCTCCTTCTTTCCTTCCACGTCAGGCCATGTTCCATCTGTTCCTCTTTACACTATTTGGGGTCCCTTGCCGGTGTAATTTTTTGAGGTGGCCATGTAGAATAGAATTCGGCGCGAAAGTGGTGCAAAACGAGGGCCACATTTGGAACTCGTGTTGAACAGATTTGGAGGTATCTCATGCCTAGCATCAAAATCTTGGTTTGCTGCTGCTGCTGCTGGGTGGTCTGCTGCTGCTGCTGCTGGTGGGTGGTCTCCTGTTGCTTCTGCTGCTTGGTGGTCTGCTGCAGTTGCTTGCTGGTCTGCTGATGCTTGGTGGTCTGTTGTTGCCTGGTGGTTTCCTGCTGCTTGGTGGTCTGCTGCTGCTGCTGCTGCTGGATGGTGGTTTGCTGCTGCTGGTTGGTGGTCTGCTGCACCTCCTTGGTGTTCTGCTGCAGCTGCTGGGTGGTGGTTTGCTGCTGCTGGCTGCTGCTGGTTGGTGGTCTGCTGCAGCTGCTTGGTGTTCTGCTGCAGCTGCTGGGTGGTCTGCTGCTGAGTGGTCTGCTGCTGCTGCTGCTGCTGCTGGGTGGTCTGCTGGTGCTGCTGCTGCTGCTGCGCTGGGTGGTCTCCTGCTGCTGCTGCTGCTGCTGTGCTGGGTGGTCTGCTGCTTCTGCTGCTGCTGCTGCTGCTGCGCTGGGTGGTCTGCTGTTGCTGCTGCTGCTGCTGCTGCGCTGGGTGGTCTGCTGCTGCTGCTGCTGCTGGTGGTGCTGGGTGGTCTGCTGCTGCTGCGTTTGCTGCTGCTCCTTTGTGGTTTGCTGCAGCTGCTTGGTGGTAGACTGCAGATGCTTGGTGGTTTGCTGCAGCTGCTTGGTGGCTTGCTGCTGCTGCTGCTGCAGCTGCTCGGTAGTCCGTTGTTGCTGCTGCTTGGTGGTTTGGTGCTTGGTGGTCTACGCAGCCACACCCTATAGCATGCGCACGCCCCCCCGCCCGGCTAGCTTTCGTTCACCCCCTCTGGCCTCAAGTGTCGCTGTGCCACTGGGATTTATTTGCTACCTACGGAGCGCGCGCGGCAAGGTTTCCGGAAGGAACAACAAAAGACAATTAGGACACATGGTGAACAAGTTGGAAATGCACGGATCCAACAAGTAGGGGAACATAGGACTCATAGGACCGGAGAAATGAAGAACAATTTTACATAGCATTATAGTATGGATTGGAACGAAAGGTGAATCATATGGAACGCATTGACTTTAGGCGAGGTAGGCAAGCTGAGGCAAAATAGGAAAAACCGAAAACCCTAGGAGAAAGAGAGGAAACTGGGGAAACATAGGAAGACTACAGGAAGCACATGGTAGAATGGAAGACGCCAAATCCTCTGTTTATTATTGCTATGGCTATTATTGTTCTTCTAACTGTCCTTTTCCTATTGAGCATCTGGCATCCTGCATCCAAGGCAACGTTTGTTCTGGACAAAAAAACTACTCGATCGTAGTCAATCTATTCATTTGTCCACCCATCATTGCATCCAATCAATCGTCCCCTCCCTATATTCACTCCCCTCTTTGCTGTTCCCACCTGCCCACTCCATTGAGGGCCAAATAACATGCTTGGATGAGGGTTGCAACTGAATGTGCTCCCTGGATCGATACAGTCTCGAGGACTTTCATGAAGCAAGCATAGCTTGGCTTGGGCACTGATGTCCACTAGCTCCCCTGTGCCGAATCAAATCACAAGCAGTGGTCATGAGTCGTTAGCATGAGCGGGTCAGCAGTCAGACGCCTGACCCTTGCTGCTATTGTGTGCTTCTGAAGTTTGTCGTGGCTGCACAACGGAGACACCAAGTAGATTGACTATGCAGTTAAGTTATAGTACAGTATTTTTTCCATGTTGCTAGGCATGGATCAAACTACATCAAACTACTGGGCGGCAGTCCTTGCAATACAATTTCGATATGTACTGTATATATATATATATACATATATATATTTGTGTGTGTGCGTGTGCGCCTTTAAAGAAGTAGGAGGGAGGCTTTCTCTACCATGGCTTACGTACCCTCACAACCAAAAACGTCGCTACCCCTTGCAAGTTAAGACTTTCACGCTGAGGCCGGGATGTATGGAACCATCTCTCTTGGTGTGCTGCCGCTTGCTTCAATAGGGTCGTTTCTTCGGGTTCTGTGCCCATAGCCAGACCAGCAAGGCAAGTTCCATGCCCTTTAAGGAACCTCATTGTTGCTGCCATTGTGGACAGCGGCGCTCAAGCGCGCGAGGAGGCGCTAGAAGCTAAGAGGCGCGGGTCGTTGAGCTGGTGCCGTTGCCATCAGCATGAGTCAATCTTGAACAAGGTGCGCGCCGACATCAGGTCATCATTTGTTGAAAACACTACCCACTGCTTACCGACTGCCGCGGATTTCAGTTGGGTTTGGGCGTGAATCAAGAGAAGCCTCGGCTAGGGAAAATTGGGTTTCTAATGGACACATAGTCATCATATATACTGTAAATTTTGCATAACTATAACATGCTATATAACAAGGGCAAGGATGAAACTGAGCCGATACTAGCCACTGGCACCAGCCTTGCCAGGCAAACACTCTGGGCTTCCATGTGGCCTTTGCACAGACATAGCTAGGCCAATGGGCCAATTGTATAAATATGTGTATATGTATATTGTTAATCTCAACCGTAGAGTTCAACCTAAAGGAGCACTGTCCTACACAGGTCGAGGACCTCACACCGTTTTCGTCTGCTGTGTCTTTCCTCCCTCCCACCCTGTTGGCGGGTCGATCCATGAACGATGCATGGCGAGACATCAAGCTTGCGAGCTTCACACCACACACTTTCTTTTCTGGCAACGGTAAAACCATGTCTCGCCAGTGCATGGAAAAGGTGTTCTCTTGTGTGCACAAGTGCCAAGCCAAAAACTACGTTCACCCGTATCCCCATTCTGAAAAGTGTCACGGTAGACCTCAAGTTCTCTCAAATCTACAGGACGGTCAGATACCCCAACAGGTGTGAATAGTTGAAACCTTGGTTTCACATGCACATGGATCACCTCACCATGTTTGCCTCGCTTCCAAAAATCAAAAGGTTGGTCAGTCTTGCCGGATTGATCTGCTATCATAGCTTCTTCAGTACTTTGAGCAGGGCTGGTTCGGTGCTGTTTAAACCACTTCAAGCGTTCGCTCGATGTGAGTCTCTCTTTTAGGGTATGTTCTTCATCTCTCAAAACATATTTTCCAGTCCTCAAACATTCTCGAAGACCCGAACACTGCTGTCCATCGACTTAGTGAGACAGTCTGCCAACATGGCTTGAGAGCTTACCCACCGCACAATTGCCTTGTCCCTCAGCCGCTCACGAATGAGTAAACATTCGATCGTTGTTCGGTGTTCGGAGCACTGTGGTAGGGCTGTTCTGGTAAGAAGGTCAAACGCAGATTTGCAGTCTGTGACCAGAGCTGCCTGGTTCTTCTTCTTCTTCAACATTTCTTCTGGATTCTTCCAATCACAGTCTGGATCTAGTATTGTGGCCCACAGTACCCTGATCCACAGAAGTCGATCTGCCGAATTGCTTAATGCTGCTGCCTCTGCTCCAAGTGTGCTTCGTACAACACGGGGTATTTTCTTGCTGTAACCTGCCACAGGTGCGACTACTGCACGTTCATTTGCCAACAGTTCAGGTGTCGTTGCGAAATTATCGTCCCCTGGTGTGCTGCAGTGTGTTTGGTACATGAGAAAGAGGCGTCAGAGAAAGCACAATAGGGAAGTACCATGAGTGACACTCGATGTTGTTTTGCCTCAGCCAACACCTTGTTGGCTAGGATCTAGTGTTTCACTCGGGTTTTCGCGACCTCGCTTTGGAGCTCTCATATCTTGGCCACAAGGTCTGGTCGACTGTGTACCGCCGCATATTGCAGAGCTCCGATCAGGCTTCTGAAGGAGGTTCTTTCTTCTTCTGGATCCTCCCTTCTACCTCTCCCTAGAGCGATTGGACTCAATATAATATACGGAATCTGGTCATACTCAATGGAACCATCATCCCACTGCTTGAAGCGGATCCCTGTATATGTGAACTCTCCTTGCTCAAAAGCCCCAAACTTAAATCGAGCTTCAACCATCTTTAGCATGGCCAAGAACTTCGGGCTACCCCCACCAATCCCATCATCAACATGAACTCCTAAACACCCTTCTAGACCTCCACTAGAATGATATGTAAAGACACAGGGATCTAATGGGGATTGACGGCTACCTTGTCGGATCAACTCGTCTCGAAACTCACAAAACCATAAATATGGAGCGTCTATTCGCCCATACGCTCCACCATAGTTGGACCTGGTCACCCTCTTCCATTCCCAGTGCATCTTTCATCTCTGGAGTGGGAACTAATCCTAAAGGTCTGCCATCTTCCTTTCCATGTAAAAAGGCTGTTGAAATGTCGAAAGACACCAAAGGCCATTGGCAGCTCGCCACTGCTTGCAGAACCACCATCCTGCCATCCTTGGTCAGTGTGGGGGCATCGTTCACCACCTGATCAAGATCAGGGTCTTCCCACCCAATCACTATGAGTCTTGCCTTGGCCTTTTTCCCTTCGGCGGAAATGTCTTCTAGAGGTTCATCGCCAGAAGAGGTCTTCCAAAGATATAGCAATCGACATCGCATGATGGCATGTTGAGGGATTTTGCCTTGAGCTACCTTTCGGATCGTTTTGTGTTGGAGCCATGCCTTCCGCAAAACGCTTCTGGTGAGAAAGCTCTTTCAGCTTTACCTCTGACCGTTTCTTCCTTTCATTCACGGCAGCCAAAATGAAAGCGTCAGGCGTTTCAAAAGACTCTTCAACACTTCCAGCAGGAGTGACATCAATTTCCCCAAAATATGACTGGCAGAAATCTTGATGAAACAACACAGTGACACAGTGTCTCCAAAAAACTCATCGTCAGGAACGGGTACATTTACCCCGTCCAAAGGTCTGTTATCCCCCACATCAAAAGAACCTCTTCGTGTTGGTGCAGTCATTTCTTCTTTTGGTTCCGGAAGCACGGCGTCTCCCGGGGCATCTGAACCTTCGATTGGCTGTGGCGGAAACTAATCGGGTTCGCTGGGTTCTGGAAGGTCGTCCGGATCCAAATCAAAATCCTGAGGACCAATCTGTCTGGCCCACTCACGTGTCGGGACCTTGAACTCAGCATCATCTTTCACTTCCTTCCATTCCCTCAAGGACGCTGCTCTCGTGTACCAACCAAACAATCCGTTTGTTTTCTACCAGTGCTACACGTGCCGGACCGTACCACTGGCCCCGTTCCCTACGCATGTTTCCACCTTTTCGTTTCCAATACAGAACAAGATCTCCTTCAAAGTTGTGTCGAACCGGTCTACTCCTCGAAGCATGATCCGCTCACAAATGCCCGTCTAGCTGCTTCTCTCAGATCTAAAGGTTCTTGAACGGACTACTCTCTTCTTCCAAAGCTTTAGCATGGCTACCCACCTTTTCATCGGAGGTCACTGAACCTGGTAACCGGGGGCAACATCCCAACACTGCTTGCTCTGGTGAGTATCCTGATTTCTGGGTCAAAGTGTTCTTTGCATGGCATGTCTGAATGAGGGCCCTGCGAAAGGAATCTTCATCAACAATGGGAACCTTGCATCCATTCTAGTTACGTAGCATTCCTTTGATTATGGCACCATGGGCCTCGGATTTTCCTTTTCCGTTTCACCGTCCACCCGAAAACGTTTCTGTCCATCCAAACTTTCCTCTTCCGATTTGCGTTTCTTTGCTACTTCAGTTTCAACATCCATCCCATCTCCGGTCATTTCTCTAGACACTCCATCTTCATCACCTACTGGCTGAACAGTGTCAGTGTCAGTCTGGCCGGTATGCCTTTTCTTACCCTCTGTCTCTGAGAAAGCTTTTGCCATTCTTCGACCTCTCGTACCTGTTCTACCTTTCCAGTCTTCCTACTTAAAGAAAAGGTCTTCCGCAAGTCCAGGTCTTGTAGGGGGGTCTTTGGCATTGGTATTCTCAACCTTTCCGTTCCCCTACACACTTCTGCATGAACCAAACGGAAATCACAGAGGTCTTGGGCCTTTTGGAAAGATGATGAATCCTTCCCTACCGCAATGGAACCTACCCTGGGAGCAATTTTTTCCCTAATTCGACAAACACCTCTTTCAGTCTTGCACCAAAATGCTTCTTTCGGTGTTCATCACAGGCTACCTCTTCTCTCCCTACTTCACTCACTGTTTGTTTTGAGATCAGACGTCTTCGTTTGAGGGCCTCACCTACCAATGCAACATCGGGTTCAGTTCCATCCTCTACGATATTTAGTTCCTCTCTCAACAGCGGTGCTTCAGTTGGACACTTCTGTACAGCACGAGCCACTGCACGAGCAAAGCCAATACTTCGCTGCAAAGGTTGACAGCGGGATCCAACTACCCAAATGCTTCACCTGGCCCTTGATCTGCCTATGTGAATGTCCTTTGCAACAGTATCTGCAGTCTAACGCTTCGTGCAAAATTCGGGAGGTCATCAGAGGTCATCAAAATTACAGTTCGTTTCTGAATCGGTTCTCCCTTGCAATTCAACTTTCCAACCTCACACATGTCAAAAACAGTGGTCAGGGTGCCATACCGCAATTGTTCCAGCGGTTGTTGGAGCATCTCTGATCCAACCGGTTGGTCCAATTGGAAATGTCTTCCGTGTTCAACTTGAAACATGTACAACTCTTCACGGTTCACACGTTCATGTTTCCTACCCTCCACAACGTGTTTCCTCAGTTTCACACTCCTTCCCATGTTTCGTTGGGCAAAGTTCCCCAAAACTTGCAGTCTGGAGAGGCCCAGATGCCCCAGATGTGCTTGGGTTGGCGTGTCTCTATGATGTTCCAGAGCGCCGCTTGTCCCTCTGGAGTTCGGAGATCTCCATCCTGGATGGTGAATCGTTGGACTTTGAGTCCCATCTGGGTTGCGACACGGGTCAACTGGGAGTCTGGATAGCAATAGATCTCCAGGATGTCCAATCCCTCTTTCGAATTGTGGATTGGTGGTGCTGAATGTCGTGTTCGGATGTCTGCTGAGTGCTGTGCCAATTCATCCAACTGATGCTCAATCTTTTCCACCAGATTAGATAACTCCTGATTAAAGAACTGGTTTAAAGAAGTGTCCATGCTGGTATTGTCTTCATCAGTGGTTGTTTGTCACAATAACTCAACTGCTCAATCAGATTGTCTATGCATCTTCGGCAGGCATCAGGAAGTCCAACTCCCTCTGCAAGATAGCAATCTGGGCTTGAATCTGACTCACTCGGTCGAGCGTTTCCTTCTCCACGCTCATCTTCATGGTGTTCTCGCTGGGTGGCAGAACTCGCTTGCTCGGCATTGAACCACTTGCCAAAGATGTGATCCCACTGGGACTTCCGAGCCCCGCATGTTGTTCATCTCGTCGATGACATCCCAATCGGTGGCCACTTCTCCATGTTGAGCCCATTCCTGTTTGGTTCGTTGAATCGCTGGTGTCAACACCCTCTGCTTCTGGTGTCACCATGGGACGTCACATAATTAGTTGTGAAAGCTCAGGGCCCACGGTGGGGTGCAATCGATCTTCTTCATGTACTCCGCGTAGCTCGCATCGATGGCCAGGGCTTGAGAAAAGCTCTTGCCGGCATGTTTTCCCCCTGTCAACGTTTGTTCTCCCCACTCGCGTAGTGTCATCACTCCTGGCGGCTTCACAATGTCCACCTCGCTGGCTGAAGGGAGCATGGACAGTGTGCTGTCCTCTGGAAATGCCAACGGCACATCCAGATTGGTGCTCGCATAGATTGGGATCACCTGCTTGGGCGCCATGCTGGAGTGTCTCGATGCTTGGTAAGTCGCCGGTGTTGCTTGAAGCACGGATAGCTGCTGGAAGGACGGTGCTGAGTGGTGGTTGTGTCTGTTTGTTGTGACGTTTCTTTCCCATGTCTGTTGCACACACAAGTTTCTCATCACAGGTATTAGTCACGACCTCCCATGATTCATCGTGCAGTTTCGGATTTGAAGCATGTTTCAAAATCTCAATCAAATCAATCAAGGACAAACCCTTCTTACTGACTGCTAGAGGAATCTCTACTTTTCCATGAAACATGCACAGCGACCGTCGAGAAGTGCAAATGTCCGCCGCGACCGCTTTTAAAAACACATTGGAGAGCAAAACGGGGTTGAACCGTCTGCCACTTCAATCTTCAACCATCGCGGACCAAAAGGAAAGAACACCGCTCCTAGACTGGACAGAGTACCATTGTCTCCAAATCTGAAAACTGTCTCAGATCTCTGCCATGACATCTTCTTTGCAAAAGTTTTTGGCTAACTGACCAACAGCTGCTCTAACCTCTTTTTTCCGATCCGCAAGGGTGGGATGAGGACGTTTCAACATGGCAGTCCTTCCATTTCCGGTTGGACTCGCTGACAGTCCGCTTGGTCGAATGCTCCATGCCCATGTCCAGAATCGTCACCTTCTCATCGAGCATGGGCCACCAGGAAGGAAGGCCACTTTCAAGTGAGATTGGCAACTTGTTAAAGACCTCCTGGTCAGTGGAGCCATTGAAATCACCCTCCAAGGTCGACACATGGATCTCGCTGAGGAGGCATTCATTGGTGTTCTGGCCACTGCCTTTGTTCGGGCACTCTTGACGCCAGTGGCCACGAGCTCCACACAGGCGACAGTTGGAGTTGGCGATCCGATCAGCAAGAGATTGCCGCTTTCGGATGCCACCTTTTGCATTCCATGAGCCCTTCTTGGCACCTTTGGTCTTTCCTTTTCCTGTCGTGCACGCAGAGAAACACATACTCAAGTCAGGGTTGTCCATGGTTGTCCTGACAGGCTTCAATCAACTGGTATTCTAATTCGGACACCAACAGTGCATCTTCATCTCCCTGATCAAGCAGCGATTGCATTCCAGCATCTTCATCAGGCTGGTAGTCCTCATCTGCCAGGAACACTGGTGCCTGACTCCCATCGTCCTCCTCCACGTAGTTCACAAAGAGTACACCTTCTTCTTGGCTTCAGTCCCCGATGTTCCAACAAGGATCTTTGGCGCCAGTTGTCTCATGGCGTCTTCCACCTTCTTGGCTTGCAACTCTCCTCCTGTCATCGATAGAACTCGTTTCTTGTCTTCAGCACCCAGGAAGCTTTTGCGTAACATGATGAACGCCTTGATTTCCTGGAGGGAGACATTGGTGATCTCAGCAAAAGCCACATTTCATGCGATTCACGAATGAGAACAGGCTCTCATCTTGCTTCTGGGTCACACGATAGAGCGCTTTCTCAAACTGCATACGTCTGCAATTCTCTGAGTCTTCCCAAGCTGCCACGGCACTGAGAAGCAATTTCACACCGCCCTCCGGGTCGGACAGCTTGGACCCATCCAACGTCTTCACCTGAGCCCAGGCGGTGCCCTTCATCAACATGGCCAAACGCGGCGCCAGTATAGCTTTGTCTTTCACTGGGCAGATCGAATGGAGAAAGCGAATCTTATCAGCATACTCCCGAGGATCATCGGTGGACGGATCGAAGGTCGGGAGCAAACTCCAGATGTGTCCAGTTTTGTCATCCTGACTCCCTTTGGCTTCCGGCATGGCTCAAATCACGATGAAGGGTGAAGTAACGTGCACAAGTCAAAGTCCAAACACAGTGAACCCTTGACCAACCTTCCTAGGCAAATTCCGAGCAACTCAAAACCTAGAACTGTTCCCCTAACAGTTGCGCCTCCTATGCGGAGGCTCCGCTACCAATGTTAATCTCAACCCCGGAGTTCAACCTAAAGGAACACTGTCCTACACAAGTCGAGGACCTCACACCGTTTTCGTCTGCTGTGTCTTTCCTCCCTCCCACCCTGTTGGCGGGTCGATCCATGAACGATGCATGGCGAGACATCAAGCTTGTGAGCTTCACAGTATTTATATATATAGTGTTTTGCTCTCCTGCCCGCCATGGCATTTTTTGTTGCCCAAGCAGTTTTACTGTTCGGGTTCTCTCTTTGGAAAAAGGAAGCTGGCCACAGTCTCTGGCCGCACTGGCAAACGGTGTGTCCGGGCGTTGTCCTCCTGTTATCATTTTCTCCTCTCTTTTCTCTCTTCTTGTCCTTCTTCCAGCCTGGCGCGGCTGTAGTCCGCCTCCAGTCTTTGTCCTTTTGTTGTATTTTTTTGTCCTCTTCTTGTCCTCCTGTTGTCCCTTTGTTGACACCATCTTGGCTGCGGCTGGTAGCCAGTCTGCAGACCTAGTCCTCTCCTCTCGTCTTCTTCTGCTCCTCTTGTTGTCCGCGCTTCTTATCCTCCTCCCGTTGTCCTCTTCTTGTTTTTCTGTGGTCCCCTTCTTGTCCTTCTGCTTCTTGTCCTTCTGCAGTCGTCACACTTTTATAGCTACAGTATATCCACGTTGATTTTTTGGCAATTTTTTTGCCAGGATCTACCAGATACCCCGCGTTGCATTTGCTGCAACACATGACCAACACAACACCTGCTTTGCTCCTGTTTGGGTTTGGCTTGTTGGTGCTTGGTGCCAGCCCTTTTCCAAAAGTTGATGTGGCTGGTAGCTGGTGCCTGGTGGGGAGTGATGTGAGGTGGTTTGAAGAATTGTGGACAATTCATGTTTCCAAGGACGGTTCTTTTTCATGAAAGTCCACGTCAAGAACGGATTTATCGTTGAGACACTCTGGGATAGGAACATGATGGGAATGCCCCAGCCTTGCTTTGCAGGAGAAAGCAGCGCATAGAAGAACAGAAACAGAAGGAGAGGCAGAAGAATCGATTGCTGGAAATTTGCAAAGTTCTCGACGACGACGCGCCTTGGTAGATAGTATGGCATGTCCATATATACATCCAATTTGCTTGCCATCATCGGAATTCATCTATATGAGCGACAGGTGAATAGCAAGGGTCAGCCAACTCTGCAAATATCGAGGGGATACGCTCGGTGATGTTGCTTTACTTTCAATCAAGATTCTTCACGCATTGATCTGAGGAGAGTGGTTCTCTGTCATTCGCATCTCGGCAAGAGCAAAAATCATTTGTCCTATTTCCTTGGAGGCAGGCCTCCAAAATTCAAGAGATTGCACCTCCAATTTAACCATGAGACCCTTGGGAAAGTAGCAAGCGCGAACCAGCAACATCATTGGTAATTATGATGTCATTCAGTTAAAGCTGTGAGGGTATATGATTATATATATATATACTGTATAGTATAGTTCAAGGATGCCCCGATGCTGATCACGTCATTCCCAAATCTTGCGGTTCCATAGTGATGTTTGCTTGGATGATTGAGTGAGGCTCCGCTTATGTCGATAATTTAGATCCAGCCCTATCGTCGTGGTTTCGACTGAGTTGTTTGGAGCCGTGGTCGAAGTTTCCCAGTGTTGTCTTTCCCGCCTGACCAGATTGTGGTTGCCAGATTTAACCAGCACGTTTTGGCCGTTGCTTCTACAGGGCATCACACACGGTTCCTGGTACCGGTCCTGCTTCGGCGGTGGCCCGACCCACTATTGTTTTATTGTTTGTCCTGGTCTGGTCATGTCAACAAAATGACAGACACGTAGGAAAAAATAGCAGAGAGTCCCTGAAGAGAAGTTACTTTTTTTTTGGGGGGGGGGGAGGGGGGGGGGTTTTTTTTTGGGGGGGGGGGGGGGGGGGGGGGGGGGAATTTGTTTCACACGCTGGAATCTGGTTGCCGCGTTCGTGACATGCCCCCCACATGGAGCCCGGTTATTTGTACCAGCAAGCTGCAAGCTTGTTTCGATAATTTATGGAGGGCGTGCTTCCTTGTCCTTTCACAGTCTTTCACACAGGCAGACGTTAGTTCCGCCCTTGATAACGGACAGCGACCAAGGAGGAGCTTCTTCAGGGGTTCGACAAAAATGCGGAATTCCGCACTGCAATGAAGGACTGTAACGCGAGTCCGGTGCAGGTTAGGAGTCTTCTTTTGGTGTGACGGAAGCTGTGCACACAGGACTACAACATAAACCGTGCAGAGCTGGACGTGCTTTTTAGAGTTTTTGATGAAGACGGAGAAGGAGGGACGGTCAGTGAGGGCTGTGGCTACAGAGTGTAGGGTGCTGTACGTAGTTTGGCCACTTGTCACTTATTGCTGAGATTTGTCGGAGTCCTTGCGTTTGTTTTGTTTACACATGGCACAAATACAGTGTAAACACAGGTGCTTGTGTGTTTGCAAGTTTGCAAGTCAATAGCCGACGACACACATACCGTACCATACCTCAGACAGGAAGCTATATAACACAGAAAACGAGCGAACAATTCTTACTGTAACGCAGAAGAAGTACAGCATGCAGCCTATATATATATATACACGGTTTTGTTCACCCTACAATGTCTAGTCTGATGTCCGGCGTGGTTGATGCCCGAAATCTGAAAACACAAGACTGCTTTGAGCACCAAACATGCCGGTGGGCTCTCGCTTACAATTCTTTCAGCGTCCAAGCTGAGGTGTTTGGTGGTGTAGTGTTTGGGGCTTCTAACATCTGACATGCAAGAGCTCAAAGGATACATACATATCATATCTAATCGCACCTACACACATATATATATATA